AAGATAAGCAGTTTTACGGAAAGGTAAATCATCAAACATCCTCTTCAACAATTGTAACAAGAGTAATTAACTAAAAAAACGACAATTTGTTTTGTAACATATATCTACGTCTAAACGGAAAGCGGTGTATCCTTTATCAATAACTCGCACCGACAAAGCGAGAACTTCCTACTGAAAAGTGGAGATTTCAACAGAAATGCCTCACGTGGTAAAACTTAAATGACAGTTAGAGTTGGGAGATGAAAAGTTCTAAATCGAGGTGACAGAATGCCCAATGGCGTGTCACCATTGGAGAATTAACTGTTGTTTCTTGTCCTGGCTACGTTTACATTTTGAGAAATATCCCACTGTTGTATGTAAACTAGTATTATTCTATTAGTTTAGGGCTCAAGGATTGATACAATAAATACGGGTAGCAAACATGTTGTTGTGGACTCACAAATTATATGACTAGAATATTCCTATATTAAATTGGGGAAATAATAATATTAAAAAAATATACTTAAGGAATGCTTAGAAGGAATTTTCTAAGTAGAATATTTTTGCTTTGGTTAAACTTTTATCTTTAGTACATAAAAACACACTTAGTAAGAACCACTTGTTTTATATTAACACAATTACAGTAGTTTTATTATGTATGCTGCTGTTGTATACTAATGTATACTACTGAACTCTCATTTGGCTCGCTGGGGGTTACGCCCTCCTTGGGTGGGTGGTGGCTTATTAGCAGAATGAAAGGCAGTGGTTGAAGAACTGTTAGGGGGGGGGGAATTATTTGTTAAGGGGGTACATATTTAAAATGCTAAATTCCTTCGATATATGGGGTCAATAAGTTCTATTATGTATGCTGCTGTTGTATACTATAAATGTTTACTACTGAACAATGATTCTTCACCGTTAATATGGAACTACATAAATGCAAAATAATTCATCACGAATGTAAGTACAGAGCAACAAAAAGTAGAAGCTATCTGTCTATATTCTTATTGTATAATAACCCAAATACTGGCATAAACAAATTTCAAATATCAGGTCATTTTTATCACAATGAGTGACTTTACACTATTCAAACAATAATATTGAACACAGTTATAGTTTCAATAATTAATTAATAGACTATATTGTGAAACAAGTTCAACAAAATCCAATTTAACAAAGTTACAAATACCGTAACCGGGCTCTCGTCAATTATAGATGTTAATGCTGTTTTCTTCCTTGTCAAAGTTTGCAGTCTGTTGTTGTCAGTCAAAAAATACTGTCAACTTCAGTAATTAAACTTATATAACACTTTCATAACGGCTCGGATAAAGAAGTTCTATTCATTACTCACCAGCCCTGACAGAAGTGCGAGTTTTACTCTAATAAACCTCTTGAGTGAATTTAATCTCATTGGTTTTTTTTTTCAATAGATAAAAAGTTCAGTATATTTTTGAGAGAAATGCATGTTTCAACGAATTAAGGTAATTCTTACCATTGTGAAAATTATGTGTCAGCTCAGCAAAAGAGGGACAATTTGGCTTTCATGAATTATTTAGTATAGGACTGGGATAAATGTATTGATGAAAACAACTAAAGGGTGTGCCACATAGCTTGCCTGATAAACTCTTGGGCAATATACGTTGCATTAAGCCATCTGTCATAAACGTAATATCCCTTACTGGTGTACACATTTCTTTTGGAGTTAATTACTAGGACTAATTATTTTGTGGCTTATTTTGTCTTAAACAAATTTTCAATATGATGAAAAATTTATTTTTTTACGCAGACAAAAGCATTTTTCAACCCCCGTTCTTTTTCCGAACTTGAGCTCACGTTGAAAAAAAGAGTCATTCTACGCCCTAATGATGAAATAATATACAATTTCGACATGCTGCAGCAAACCTGCAGCTAATTTTTTTTTATGTACAGCTCATGACCACTGCTGATTCTTTTGAACCATAGGTGTAAATATAACTACTTTTGCCCCACAGCTTTATTGAAAACTCCCCGTTTTCGTTGCAGTGAAACACTTTTGTAGTATTTAATGAATATAATGTTTACACTACTCAGGGAATGGGGACCACAAAGCGGGCAACATCTCAACATCGTAACCAACACAGCCCGTCCACCTCGTTACGTCGGATGGCGCATGGTGTGTAGTTTTCTCGACAAATTGGATCGTATTGTATGTTTACAGTCTCGACAACACATTGATGGTGTGTTGACGACAAAACTCGCCGGTCAATACTACCTTGAGCCATCACCGTTTGACGGGCGCAACTGAGTCAGAAAATAAAACTGTGGGAAAAGTGTTTTGTTGTAAAAACAGTTTAGAGGTGAAACTGTATTACAATTTTTATATTGATAAAAAGTGTAATTACTTTTGGAATATTCTAAATATTTGATAACCTAAAAACCTAAATTTTTTGCCAATTTTTGTTAAATGATAAAAGGACTTAAAAATGTGAGACCACAATAACATTTTGAACACAGTACAAATGAATTGCTTTTAGGATTTTGTGAGGGTATTTTCTTATAAAATCTACCTAAAATGTGTTTTTATTTTTACAAGCTTTGGTTGAAATAATTATGTAAATACGTCAGTCTGCGCAATACAGTATGATTATTTCCTTGATTATTGAAAGCCCTAGAATTAAATCTTTAAATGAGTTTTAGTTAATTCTTTTTATGCATAAAACAATAATTTACCCTTTAGATGTATCTAACACGAGAATTCACTCTGAAAATCCAATACAACCCGAAAATTCTCTCATTAAATACATAGAAACTCTAGAGTTTATTTTTGTGGTATATTAAAACAAAAATTTACACTAACTATGCATCAGAACTACAGAATCCATTGTTATGATGATGCACAACAAGTTTGATAATCAAGCTTTAATTTTATTGGACCTGTCAATCATATTGCTGTATAACGCAGGAACGAGGACAAATATAAATTATTCTTTCGTCAAAATACAAAATAGGTTATGGAAAATTACCATGATTAAATTTTTATGTTGGTTTAACATGAGTCGCCTTTAACACGTTGACTGATTTAGCACTACAGTATATAGGAGAAGTTGACATGTATTCCCTGTAAAATCCCATACTTATTACTTAGAAAACTAATTGGATTTCTCTTACATGAACCTGAGTGGCCGGGTGGTTATTGTAGTTGCTATATAACAAAATGTTTACATTGGATAAAACAAGACCAAGGTACGTACCATTCCCTAACAAACATTTTTTAAATGCTCACTTTTTAAATACAATTTTTACTTTCTCCCCCTATACCGTAGAATTATTGAGTGTGTAGTTTTTGTCAAAATTTCCAAGTTTGAGTTTTGAGTGAATATATCCATTTTGGGTCAAAGTGATGTCTGTGTGCGTGTGTGTGTGTGTCTGTATATGTGGATGTGTACAGAGCTACATACCTTACCTGTGGTCTGATTTTGATGAAATTTGGTGTGTAGGCACTAATCCATGGTATCTCCAGGAATTTTTTTCATTTGTTTGACATTTTTATTTTGAATGATGTTTTCATAAAAACCCATAAAATAACAAAAAAACTGGTTTTCTAAAAAATGGCCGGAACAATTTTGATAAAAATGTAGTATGTTGTAGCCCTTGACATTCTAAACAAAATGGTAGAACTCCCATTCCTGTAAAAAATCTGGTTCAAAAGTTATTGTAAATTATGTTATTTTCCCATAAAAACCCATAAAGTAAGAGAAAATCATATTTTTGAAAAAACCTGTTGTTATTGAAATTAGTATTTGATGCCCTTATAATTATTCTTAACAACTTTTAAATACTTTTTATTAAAATGGCAACCATACAAAGTAGGTATTTTAAGCCATGAATGGAGATGGGTGTAGGATGAGTGCCGCGATCTTGTAGTCTTGTTAGTGACTAAGGACGACATTCCTTAGACACAGCTGTTAATTAATAGCCCATACTGCTAATGACAACTAAGGGACCTACAATTTATAGTGAAATCCGAACCACATTTTTGCCTCGGTACAGTAGAACCCCTGTTAACCGAAACCCGGGTTAACCAAAATGGTTCCATAAAATAATAAAAAAAAAATGCTTTAGTAACTTAAGTTGTTTAGCTTAAAGTGTTTTCTAACGCATTGTTTTAGCTTAAATAAAACACTGGGTTATATATCATTGACCTTATGACGACACCCCTATCCTTGTACATTGTACTTTTTTAGATGTTATGAGTGAATAAGAATTTGAATTTGAATTAGTCAATGGTTATATAGTCATTGTCTTAAATTCATTTTTTCTGCACACTGTGGGAACACATTGGTTATTTTTAGCATATGATGGGTTAACCAAAAAATTGGTTATCGGAAAGAGCTCTCCCCCTTTATTTCGGTTAACCGGGGTTCTACTGTATTAACGAATTGGTCTAATTATCAGGATACTACTGCGGATCACCATAGTGCAACCCCCATTGCTGTAAAAATGACTGTTCAAAGGTTATTGTAGCTTGTGTTAGTTTCCCATAAAAATGAAAAATTAGACTTTAGGAAGAAAACCAGTTTTGATTGAAATTAATGTGTTAAAGGTCCTTACAATTATACAAAAATAGTGCAAACCCCCATTTCTGAAACAATTACTGTTCAAAAATTATTGCAACTATTGACATTTTCCCTATGAAATATCATATTTACTCCCCCCACCCAAAGGTTGTTCACAAGCCAATGAGGAAAGTATGTGTCAGATTGCTGATACCGTTAATTAAGTAATGCAATGATATATTTTACTATTTTACTCACAGTTGGGGGGTTATTTGAAAGTAATTAGATTTTGCATTATATTCTAATCTGTTTTTCTGGTTATTAGTTATAGGCTAGAGTACTTTGTAATACTATTTTATCGAGTTACAAAATCAAAACGAGACATACAATGTCAAAGTTTTAAAATATGTTTTTGTATTCCTTCCCAAACTTATAAACTAGATTTCCTTTACAAACCAATACAATCCAGTACATTGTTCAACATACCTGAATGAACAGCCAGGATACAACCAACGCTAATCCGCTGTATTGCCCGTTGAACCTGTAGTGGTATGCGTAGAAGGAGAAATGGTATAAGTAGAAGAACCTGAAACATTAAAACACTTATGAAACAAAGTGACAAAGATAAATAACCCAAGTATGACAGTCCATCTAAAGTCCTTTTGACGATTAACACATTGTTGGTATTATGACTAATCAACAAATCCACTATATGACAAGATAGTGTACAACAAGGGGTGTTCCATCCGATATAAGACGCATTTGTTCTCGTATGAATGAACGACGAGTGAGGACTCAGTGAGACGTCTTTGTAGCTTTGAAACACCCACAAAAACTGTAACCTATCCAAGGTCATGTATAAGTAGTGTCTAATGATCAAGAAGAGCTGTCTCCCGTTTCAAAAACCAACCTGAAGCTACTTTGGACCAGCGGCCTAATGTCAGGTAAGATCATAACCATGACCACTAAGCTCCCCAACTACACTAGAATTAGATTTTGTTCAATCATTTATTGTGGACACTTTCCATCACAATGGTAACAAAAATCTCTCTGTAGTGTATTCCAACTTAGGTTGGGCTTTTGTGTATTGTTAGTTGTAATTTGTTAGTTAAGTTTTTATACCTGAGGACGGGATCAGATTGCAGATCCCGAAACGTTGTGTATTGTTTTTTTACCATTGGGATGGAAAATGTCCGCAATAAACCTTTGAACAACATTAACTCATCATCACCAACAATGAACTTCAAACAAAGAAATTAAAAGATTCTACATATCTCAAAAATGTAATAGGTAGCTATGTAAGCGCTTCACTATAAATTATCAATACTAAATATACATTCCATTTATATGTTAAAGTTGTGGCTGGTTATAGAGCGAAATTGAACGTGGCTGAATTGAGTCGCCGACAGAGTGTTTTGATGTAAACTATTGGTTTATGTGCGCCAACTTTTGACCCAGCTAAACTGAAAGGGCAACTTAAACTTACTGTAAACACGTCTTACATGCCAATCTGTGAGTTAACTCATTGATTCAACTACCTTCTACGTTAAATATTTGCTACAGCTGATCCATATAGATGGGTCCACATCAGTAAATTAAGGATGGTTGAATGTAACCAAAAAGAAAAGGAATATCAATTATGTTTACAGTGTTTCAAACTTGTCAAATCTTCAAGTGGATGTACAATCTGAAGGACAAGTAGAAAACACTATAGTAAGAAGAAATCTAATAAAATGACAGAGTAAATTTTATCTTAAAGTCATCATTGATCTATCTGTGGAATATAGCATATGTTACTTAATACTGTGTACCTTCTTATAAATAACTTCCTTTCTGACACTTTTACCTAGTTTATTACTGTCACCAATTTCACCAGCTGTGCTTGAACACTGAAGAATGGTTTGTGACAATTAAAGATTCTAGAGTTAAGTTTAGATTTAGTATACACTCAACCTATTTCTCGTGAGTATTTCAAACCTTGTATACAAAGGATGTGATAGAGAGGGGGGGTGAGAGAGACGTAGTAGTGGTGTGGTATTACACCAGACCCACCCACCTATTGTACTGCTAAGACTCTCAAAGAGTTTACGGCCCTGAGAGATGAATAGGTGACATAATCCGTTTTCTTGTGGCAAGCTGTCTTTGTGCTGCTGTTGTCGTAGTAATGGACACAACAATGCGCTTCTGGACTCGCGGACGCATTCAAAACAGTTCAATTCTTCAAACAACTGAACTGTTGGAACACACTCAGTTCCAAAATCAAACACGGAACGGTCAGAACTGTCAGTTCCAAAACCCAATCTTGAAGAGTGGTTTTCCCAGAAAAATCAGTACCTATTTAAAAAATTTGTAGACAACATCAATGTTGATCAGGTTTTTCAAATCCAAACAAAGCACTTAATTGTATTTTTAAATTGTACACAATAGTTTAAAAGATTATTGTTGATTATTAGCAATGAATTTAATGATTAATCAATTTGTATTCAAAAGAAAAGTGACATATTATGTAATAGAATATTATATTCAATATTTACAAGTATCATTACTTGTATTTTGCAAACGATGATAACCCAAAAAGGAAGAATGTAGGTCTATGGATTTAAGGCTAAAGAAAAAAAACGCATTTTGGTGCAATTGATCATTCATGGTCATATAAACAATAATTTTAATTGTACATAAATGACCTGTCAAAACGAAGTCAAACCAAATAGGCCTAAGTAGGGATTTCAAAATTTTTCTTTTTCGTCCTTGACATGACGAGGGCATAGGAACCCTGCGGTGGACGTGGACGTATGAGTCAATATTGAAACGGGAGTAATATACAAAACCTTCCCAGACATATGTTGTCGTTGTCATTTTCCAAAATGATTAAAGTGATCTAATTAATGGTTTGATGAAGCATATAGGACAAAAATACCGACATACTGATGTAGTGAATAGATATTTATGACTCCTTTTTTTAAATATTTTTATGATATTAAAAAAAACAATGTTTTAAGCTGACGGATGTATGTAATTTTACTAACAAGAACTACATTGGATTATTTAGAGAGACCAATGGTAAAAAAAATTCTCAAGCCATAAATTACTTATGCAAATTGACTTAACTATTTCCTTTCATAAATTAATGCTTAATCAAACACTACACAAACCCCACTTGCATTAGCCATTGCTTAACATTACTGTACAGTGTACAACACTTAATTAACCGAGGAATATCATGAACATTTCAAGTGCTGTGTGAATCTAGACGACCGTCAAGCGGAGATGTGTCAACCATCGATGGAGTACAAAGGTGCAATATGATAGGTAAGTTCCATTAAAGGTGGTACAAAGCCTGACTGAGGGAGAAAATGGATTATATCACCTATTGTGGTCTCGTCTACGCTCAGTCAATCATTGCCTCTTATGTCCTACACACCCCTCATGAATTAGCTTTGAAAATATCATTGCAATGTAGAGTTGAATAATCTTTTGCCATGATTGTCTTGTTATAATAACTTTACAGCAGGCAAAGCTGACAGAAACAACGTGGTTTTTTAACACTTTGTACCTGAGTCGTTCATTGATTTGATTTGATTTTGCCTAGTTTGTGATCCACCCTCACCTTAAAAACTCAAATATCCTAATTCTGGCGGACAGTTTTTCGATAGCACAACTTCACAGTTAGGGAAAAATTTATCAAATCGTTGAGATGAAACTCACAAAGTAACGAGACAGCAAACTTCCACCCTCGTCCAATATGGTTAAAGGACCTCTCAACCAAGCTCTGCTCACGAGTAGCACGCCAGACATGATTTGAACCCATAACCTGACGAAGATGTGGTACAGCTCAAACTTGTGAGTGTGGATGCCACCAATCACCAGTATGTCCTTTGTTAAGACGGCAACAGGGAGATTGTAAAAAACAATCGTTTTAGATTTAGGCAAGTGAGAAGAGTGCAAGAAGAGTAAATTTCTGGGAAATTGAGTTGAAGAATGTACAGATGAGAGAATGTATGTGGCGGATTGAGGAGGAAAAGGATCTGCAAAGAGATAGAAGGTTATTGGGCCTAGTCGATGTCTGAAGCCAGGAATAGCTGGAACGGAAGTGGATATTTTACTACTTATGAACCAACAAAAAAATCCACTGATACTTCTTCTCTACACATACAGCCATTTACAAAAACAAGGGATCAATTCAGCAAAATATATGGCGGAGAGAGACAAAAAATAATAAACAAATATTCTTAACACAATTACTATACAACATAAAATGACAAAAACAACAAAAAGATCGCACAAATATAAACTGATTAATTTACATAAAATACCGTAAGTATAAGATAAAGTCAAACAGTTTTGTAACTGGACCGATGTGTAGAGGCAGAGGGGATAGTTAAAACGGTAATTTTATCACTATTGATCCACCCCAGCGAGATGGTGTCTAGTTTTAATAGGCCCAATAGGATTAAACCCTGTCAGACTGGTAATTATATTGTTGGATGTCCAAGTCTGTGATTCAGATACGAGTTTTACTTGGATTTTATGCTAAAATCTATTGGAATAATCATTTCAAGCAATATATGAAAGTACATTACACTAATTGGTGAAGATGTGTTTAAAACTTTAAAATCTGTGATGAAGTGAATGACAGTTTAGTATAAAAACCATCATATTCAGCTTTTTGATTTGCTAAGTCTATCATGAACGGTCTTGAAAGTAACTTTGTAGCCTCATTAGAATCTGCATTGAGGTTCAAAAAGAGTGTCGATCATCCCTTTATAACACTAACAAAATTAAGTGTGCAAAACCGTCTTCAAAATTCCACCATAGCGTCTCGTACAAACAATGGTGTTTGTGATTGTCATTGTTATTTTCTTATTGAGGGAAACTGCAAAAAATGTAATTAATATCAAGCAAGTTTTACCATCAAAATCCTAACCAACAATTATTTAAAAAGTCAGTTGTTTACTGGATCACATCTTTTTGTATAGCAAGTGAATGACCGTTTAATTTGGATATTTTTTTTCTTGATGGATGTTGATAACAATGTTTTCTGATATCAAGTACTTGCTATGAAACAAAAATCTCATTAGAAATCAAGCGGATACACTATAACCAGAATTTTACTGTGAGTTTTTAAGGTTACGGTAGTTAAAAAGATGAAAAGTTGTAATAATTCAATAGAATCAATAGTTGATGGTGAAATGGTTAGTTCCAATGTATCCGGTGTCCAGCTTAGAGTGAGCATGTTGGTTAAAAGGGGGGAACAACTTGTTAAACAAAATGTTAAATAATATGCAGTCATTCACGGATGTAATGATTTATGTGTGATAAATTGTACTTTTCAACACTCTGTTTGAATATAATACATTTAGTTTTGGCCAATATTGAACAATTGATAATTTTAAAACTCATATCCATATACATTGTACTACTATTGATGTGATGAGTTACTGAAGTTGAATTTGAATAGAAAATCTACTGTATTTCCTTGGAATTGGACCAGTAATCTTATTAACTAACTAGCGCTAACTAACTAGACATTGCATAAGATGAATTTTCGGCTTGAAAATCCAGCCAGTGAATTTTGTGCGAGTGACA